AGAGAAAGGGACCAGTTGGCGATCGAGTTAGAGCAGTCAACAAAAATCGTGGCTGCTTTAACCAAAGAAAAGGATGGTCTACTTCTTGCGGCTGTTGAGGAGCAAGAGATAAGAGAGGAGATGAGCGAAGGCATAGTGGTTGAACATACGAGAGGATTTAAAAAGGCTCTGTGGCAGGTCGCGCATCTCCTCCAAGTATCCACTGAGAGAGTAGCTTTTGATGTGAAGAAGGATGTGTACGAGGGTCAACTGATGCCCTTGGATGAGATTCCTGATGATGCTTTCATGGAGCCCGAAGAAGGTATCGACGGTGGAGCAACTACTGTTGAGGAAACCAATGCTGAAGCTGCCAAAGGTACTGCGGTCAGGTCACCAGAAATTGTAATAAATTAGGTGGTAGGATTTTGGCGTGGCCATGGACTCTTATTTGTTTGTTTGGAACTTTTGTTTTGTAGATACTGATTACCTATGAAATAGATATTTGCTATCGTGTTGTTATCATTGTTGTGTGAACGATAAAGTGTCCTCATACTAGTGTGAGGTAGACGTTGGTAAGGTCTGTGAGCGATCTTTGAGATCAAATGTGCTGGGTGTTCTAGGGTGAACATCTACCAGGGGAGTGTATCCCTTTGACGAATGTACCTGGGTGTTCGAGAGAGAACATCTACCAGAGGGAGTGTATCCCGATGTACCATGGTGTGGATGTTCTAAGGTGAACATTTATCAGGCCGAATGGTTGCCTTGGTCTGGATGTCTAAGGTGAACATCGGCTAGAGGGAGTGTATCCTCATGCGTCGTGGTTTGGATGTTCTAGGGCGAACATTTATCATGCCGAACGGTTTTGTAAAATTTGACCCTAGGACTCGACATGTGAGAATGAAATAAATGAAGAATGGGAAAGAAATTCTTTATTGTAAGCAAGAAAAATAATGTGTTATGAACATGAAAAATAATAAACTTCAACTGAAATAATATTTAAGGTGACTGGCGTTCCAAGTGTTAGGGACGGTTTGCCCATTGAGGAGTTCAAGGCGGTATGCCCCATTCATCAAGTCCTTAGTAATGCGGAACGGTCCTTCCCAGTTGGCAGCTAGTTTTTTGTGCGCTCGGTTTTTTCTCGCTTCTCCTCATTTCCGCCACACAAGATCGTCATTTTTGAAGGCTCTAGGCTTGACTTTAGTGTTATAACGGCGAGAGAGTATTCTTTTTTGGGCTGCTGCACGAACGGTGGCAACCTCTCACTGCTCGGGTAGCGTGTCGAGATTCATCTGCAATTGTTCATCATTAAGGGTCATGTTGGTGATGTTGCGTCTTAGTGACGGCTCTCCGACCTTGACTGGGAGCATGACATCAGTGACGTATGTCAAATTGAATGGAGTGTCCCCGGTGGATCCGTGTGGGGTGCATCTGTACGCCCATAGGACTTCTGGTAGTTCTTCCACCCATAAACCTTTAGCCTCGCCAAGTCGTTTTTTCAATTCAGTGAGCAGAGCTTTGTTTGCGACATCTGCTTGTCCATTAGTTTGTGGATGTTCTACCGAGCTGGTCACATGTTTAATCCCCAGGTTTCTGAGGAAATCCTCTAACTTTCTCTCAATGAACTGCCTACCGTTGTCTGTGATGATTTTTTGTGGCAGACCGAACCGTCATATCAGGTGCCAGATGAATTTCTGTACTCGTTGGGCGCTGATTATGGACAACGGTTCGACTTCTATCCATTTAGTCAAGTAGTCGACCGCCACCAGGAGGAATTTGTTATGAGCTTTTGCGATCGGCAACAGTCCGACTATGTCTATTCCCCATTGGGCGAACGACCATGGGGAGATGATGCCATGCAATTCTTCAGGAGGGACGCAGAAGTCATGACCATGTGCCTGGCATGAGAGACATTTCTTGACAAATGTCTCACAATCTTGGTCGATCGTTGGCCAGTAATATCTTGCGCGTAGTATGCGCGCTCTGAGCGTACGTTTGCCCTGAATGAAAGTCGCAAATCCCGGTGTGGAGCTCACGTAGGACGTAATTTGCTTCGTCCGCCGATATACACTTTAACAGGGGTGTGCTGTGGCCACGCCTGTATAGGTCGTCGCCTATGTATAGAAAACGCGCGATGCGTTTTGAGTCACTTACGGTGACCTTTTCTCCTCGCTCCTGCTTCATCATCAAGTCCTGTATGTTCTGTCTCCAATCAGCTTCCTGTGTCGAGACATCGGTGGCAAAAGCTTCCACGACTGGGTGTTCGAGTGTCATCTTGATGATTGAAGATAACTGTGCTCTATCCCTTGAGTGAGTTAATTTAGACAGGAGATCTTCCCATGCATTTTGCTCCCTAGGCACATGAATGATGCTAACATCGACAAAATCCTTGAGGAGGGTGCTTGCTTTGTGAAAGTAGCGCAGTAATTGATTGTCTTTAACCTGGTAGGTTCCGTTCATATGCCTGACCACCAATTGTGAATCCATCCTGCACTCCAATCGAGCGACCGTTAATTCTTTGGCTAGGGTTAGACCAGCAATCAAAGCTTCATACTCTGCTTGGTTGTTGCTGGCTTGAAATTGGAATGTGATGGCTTGCTCGACGACTAGACCATTTGGCCCTTCTAGAACAATACCAGCTCCCCTCCCTCTTTTGTCCGAGGATCCGTACACGTTAAGGAGTCATTTTGGCTCTGAGTCGTCAGGTATGGGCGTTAGTTCGGCTGTAAAGTCTGTCAGGTGCTGACCCTTGATGGATCCCCGAGGTTCAAAACGGAGTCCAAACTCAGAAAGTTCCACCGACCATGACACCATCCTTCCTGCTAGGTCGGGTTTCCTGAGGATCTTGGCGACTGGGTGATTAGTCCAGACAACCACATGATAACTCTGGAAATATTGTCGAAGTCAACATGAAGCTGTGAGCAGGGCCAGGGCGACCTTTTCGATTTGGGAGTACCGCTCCTCCGCCCCCTGTAGCGTTCGACTGACAAAATATATCAGCTTAAGGGCGGGGGTCTCCTGTACCAAAGCGGCACTTACATCATGATGGGATGCTGCGATGTATAGTTGTAAGTTGGATCCTGCTACTGGTCGCGCCATGACTGGAGGGCTGGTGAGAATGTGTTTAACAACGTCGAAGGCTTTTTCATACTCATCGTCCCAGTGTTGGATGATGCCCTTCTTCATGTTCTTCAGGATAAGGCTGATGTGTTCGGCCAATTTCGGAATGAAGCGTGATAACGCTGTCATTCGGCCAACCAGACTTTGTATCTCTTTCAGGTTTTTGGGGCTTTGCATTTCTAGCACGGCTCTACACTTGTCTGGGTTGGCCTTGATTCCTCTGCATGTCAGCATGAAGCCCAAGAACTTCCCAGCCGGGACTCCAAAGGTACATTTAGAGGGGTTAAGTCGCATGTTGTATCGTCGTATCTAGAGGAAAACTTCTGCCAAATCCTCGAGATGTTGTTCCACAGATTGACTTCGGATGACCATGTCTCTACATAGACATCCATGCATTTACCGATTTGATAGTGGAATACTTTGTCCATAAGGCGTTGGTAGGTGGCAGCCGCATTCTTCAGACCGAACGACATTACTTTATAACAGTAATTTGCGCGCTCGGTAATGAAAGTTGTTTTATTCTAATCGGGCTCGTACATGGGGATTTGGTTGTACCCCGAGTATGCATCAAGAAAACTGAGTATAGTATGTCCTAAAGCCCCATCTACCAATCGATCAATGCTTGGAAGGGGATATGAATCCTTAGGGCATGCTTTGTTGAGATCAGTGAAATCCACGCACATTCTCCACTGACCGTTTGACTTTTTGACCATGACCACGTTCGACAACCACGTGGTGTAAGTTACTTCCCTGATAAACTGGGCGTTCATCAGTTTGTTGACTTCTATTTGGATGGCCTTGCACTTTTCTTCCCCAAATGGCCGTTTTTTTTGTGAAACCGGACGCGCTTCCCTGAAGATGGACAGTTTATGCGCAATCACCCCTGGATGGATTCCCGGCATATCTGCGGCCACCCATGCAAATAGGTCGGCGTTGGCTCTTAGTATCTTCGTCAGATCATGTTCATCGTGTAGCGCCAAGCTTCCACCGATGGTCGTAGTTTTTGATGCATCTGCTCCCAGTTAGAATGCTTTGATGTCTCCTTGTGGATGGAGATGTTCGTCTACATTGGTTCTGGGATCCAAGTCAATCGTCGCTGTTTCGGCTCCTCTGGCTCTTCTAGGTGGCATGAAAGGGGTGACCTTCAAACCGGCGACATAACACTGTCGAGCCGTTCGCTGATCGGCCGTCACGGTACAGATGGTATCTCTTTCTGTCGGGAATTTCATAGCTAGATGAGGGGTGGATACGATGGCCCCGAAAGCGTTCAAGCAGGGTCGTCCTAGTAAGGCATTATATGAAGTATTTGCCTCTACCAGTAAGAACCTGACTCTGAGCTCTCGCGCCTCCCTGCCTGTTCCGAGTCGAGTTCTTAGGTCGAGATATCCCCGAGTGTCGACTCTTTTGAAAGGGGCTATCGGGTCTTCGGATAAGTTCATTTTCTGGAAGGTGGTCCAGTACAAGATACTGACCGAACTGCCTTGATCGATGAGCACTTTCCTGACATCGTAACGGGCTATTTCGGCCGTGATGACCATGGAATCATCGTGGTCAGGGTCGGGAGCGTGGAAATCTGCGTCAGTAAAAGTGATGCTGGGCATGGATCGAGGTTGTCGATCTACCATGTGCACCGTCTTTAAGTTTCTTAAATGTCGTTTTCGGGCGGAGACTGATGCTCCTCCCCCTGCGAAGCCGCCGGATATTGTGTTGATTCGCCCTCGGACCGACCTCTCTCTCTTCGAGTGTCGGGGTTGGCTCCGGGATCGTCGTCTTCGTCGGTCGTCCCTGGGAGGTGATCGTTCGGGACTTCACTGGGAGGTTTCCTTCCGGCTGGGAGTTGCTGCTCTGGTGGATGTTCTCTCCTTTATATATTTTTGGAGATATCCCGCGCGGATGAGTTTTTCTTACTCATCTTTCACTATGTTACATTCTTCGGTATCATGACCATGGTTCAGATGAAGACGACACGCCTTACTGCCATCAACATTCTTTGGAGTTGCCCTCCGCCGAACGGTGAGGAGTTCTGCGTGCAGCGCCTCTTCGAGCACCTTTGCCCTGGGTGCGTTGAGGGATGTATAACGATCGTATTTGGGTGTCCACCCCGACTCTTTTCGAGGAGGTCGATCAGTTTTATAGACGTTGGATGACCGTTTCATGTCTTTCTTGGTACCACTGTTAGGACTTTCATGCTGTTGCTTTTTCATGGAGTTTCTGAGGTCCTCAATGCGAATGAATTTCGCGATCGTTGCCTGGAGTTCTTCCATAGACTTCGGAGGATCGGCATACAGTCGTTTCGCGAAATATCTTGGCCTTAAACACGAGGGTAGATTGCTGATTATAAATGTGTGATTCACGTCTTTTACCCGTCTGGACGTCTCGTTGTATCTTTGCATGAAAGCCTTCAGGGTTTCATCTTTCTCCTGTTTGGTGTTTACGAGCTCAGTAGGAGTCATCTCCGGTCTTCTGTTGGTAGCATACTGTTTTCGATAGAGAGCTTCTACGGTGGCGAAGCAATCCACTGAATTTTGAGGAAGAGTGTGATACCACTCGAGTGCCTTATCTTTCAGGGACAACGAAAAAGCTCTACAAATAACGAGATCATTATCCGTGTAGAACGCCATGGCATCTATAAAATTGCGGAGATGGTTGTCCTCGTATGGTTTGTGTCTGCCTTCGATCTGTGCTTGCAGTTGCTTGATCAAATCTCGGGTGCTGTTGTCCTCCATAGCTTTTGTGGTCTTCTTTGGGATATCAAATCTCGGTCCCACGGTGGGCGCCAAAATGTTTCGGTATAATAGTTGAGGCCGAGATGCGAATCTGATGAGTCACGTCCTCTCATTCCAGCAATGTAGTTATCTTTACGTCTTCTTCCTGTACAGAACTCTTCAGGAAGAATGGAGTGGGTACCTGCGAAGGCACTCCGATGCTCAAGTAAGAAAAAAGGGAATGATAGAACTTTTTTAGTTCAATAATAGAAGAAATAATATTTTCTCCTTTCTCTCTCTATCTCCAAAAAACGTACCTTTTTTCCTTTTGGTTTTTCATATTTAACTTAACAGTAAGATAAATCGTTTACCTAAAAATCCGGTTGGTTGGAGAACTCAACTGCTTGGACTACACAACCGCTTGGTCGTGCTTGATATTTGGTTAGCTGGTTCCGTGATTTGCGACATCATGGCCAGATATTTCTAACCACTTATTCTTTAGTTTATCAGGATTAATTGATCCAGTTTGGCTAAAACTTGACCGAACGTCTGTTGACTCTTACCTTTGATTGGGTTGACGTGACCCTGTGAGCTAATGTTGACCGTTTGGTTTAAGCAACAAACATCGCTAAAAGACGATCGCTAAAAGACGATTGCTAGATGACTGATGTTAGAAGCGACAATGACGAGCGTACGATATGACGATCGCTCTGTCTAGCAGGTTGACGATCGTTCTGTCTAGCAGGTTGACGATCGTTCAGGGATGATCATATGACAACTCGTTATTGTGTGACTTGTTTATCCTTGGTGGTCGTCTAGGTTGCCAGTCGGTCGACTCAGATATCCTACCATACACAAAATATATTTATTACATACAAACATCTCATATTCTTAACTAACTTTATTGAAAAGGTAACTAGCTTCTAGCCCCCACGGGATAAAATTAAAAAGAAAAAAAAAATTCCTTCATTCCTTCTCATAGCCATCACTGGCCACATTGGAAGCTCCAAAAATGGTGGGGTATGTGTTGTGAGCCTCTTCACCTTTCAGTCCCTCTCAACACAAGACATCAAGGCTGCGCTCAACATATGGGAGCTTTGAGCTTCCTATTATTCTCGTAAATTGCTTCTAATGACAACAATCTGCTTAGCTTTCAAATAGAAAACAAAAACTGAATTATTGCTTGCTATGAAAAAGTACTACTTATTAAACACAAGACAATAAAGAAGTCTACGGAAATTTCGTTTACCAATTTCAATAATAATTTTATTTGGCAATACATAAGTACGTAAAATTATCCTTGTATACTTTATTTTATTGAGCTAATGATTTTTAAATACTTTTTTTCTTCTATGCTACGCTATTTTTTAATTGGAAATTTGGATAAGTAAATAATTTTAATTTTAATTAAAAGTCGAAATGAAGAAGACAGACAATGATTGTTAGAACTAAGTATAGAATAAAAAAGATTAATTACTGATGATTTCTTTTTCTTAAAATAAGTACATTAGGTACAATAATTCAAAATATTGACAATGAAATTAAAATATTTGCTTAAAAGGATTACAACTTTTAATAATGTTATGGGTTGATAATAATAAAATTTTGATTGAATATAAATAAATCGTAACTATTTTAATAAACTTTCGTGCTCAAATTCTCCTATGTTACTAATTTGAATCGTTACGGTTCTTCGATCTTTCCTCCAACAAAGATGAAATTATCGATTTTTGTTTTTTTCTTAAGATATAAGTTATAACGTGAACCACAAATTTCTGCATCTTATTATCTATGTGTCATTATTTCCTTTTAAAATTTTTTTTCTAATCATTATTCAGAAGTCACATTTTTTTCTCAATACTTTTAAAACGTAAACAATAAATAAATACTAGTTCAACTTTATTTTAAAGTCTCAGACAGTAAAAATAGGGTTAAACGATACCAATTATCTAAATTAATTTTTAAGTTATTCAGCTAGAGTAAATTACTATATAATCAAAATAAAAAATAAAAAAAATAAACAAAAGAATGTAAACTGGAATATGAGAGAAATCTTAACACTCACCTCTGTCAAAAGAAAAATGGTAAAATGATTTCAAAGGTAAAATTGCATCAATGTTAAACATTGCGGGTTGGACTTTATTATCAGATTCTAATTAAGACTAACACTTTCTAATCATTCTTCCAGAGTCTCACTGTCAACTCTCACTCAGAAATTTTATGTAACATCTGTAAACTTGAGTAGCAACAATATATATTTACAAGGAAAACCAATAAAATGTCCAATGAGTTTTACACATTTAAGATATGTGCAGAGAAAACTGCGTCACATAGCAAGCAAATATATGTTACCATTTTGTTAATTATAGGCTTAATTACCTACTTAGTCCCCATGTTAGGAGGTAATTTTCTGTTTAGTACCCGGTTTTAAAAATGTAGGCATTTGGTACCTATGTTGTGAAATTTGTATCAATTCAATCCTATCCAGTTAACGGCGTTATCACCCATGTCTTTCATTTCAAAGTTAGATCCTAGAAATAATTTAGTTCTAGTAACAATCTAATTGAATGTACCAAAAATTAACATGTCATCCACATACAAACATATAATGACACAATCACCATTTTCAAATTTAGAGTACACACATTTATCAGCATCATTAGGTGAAAAACCATCACATAACAATACATTATCTAGTTTTTCATGCCATTGTTTTGGTGCTTGTTTCAATCCATACAAAGATTTTAAAAGTTTACATACCTTATTCTCTTGACCAGGTACAACACACCCTTCAGGTTGAGTCATATAAATTTTCTCTTCTAAATCACCATTTAGAAAGGCAGTTTTAACATCCATCTGGTGTATCACTAGCTTATGGATTGCTGCTAAGGCTAACAGAACTCGAATAGAGGAAATCCTAGTCACAGGGGCAAAAGTATCAAAGTAATCTATGTTGGGTTTTTGAGTAAAACCTTTTGCTACTAATCTTGCCTTATACTTCTCTATAGATCCATCAGGATGATACTTTTTCTTAAAGATCCACTTACAACCAATGGGTTTTGCTCCTTTAGGCAAATCTACTAAGGTCCAAGTATTATTTTTCTGAATTGATTCAATTTCAGTCTTAATGGCTTTATCCCACTGTTTTGCATCAGGAGCACTAATGGCTTCTACAAAGTTACTTGGATCATTATCAACTAGATAGGTATAGAAATCATTACCAAATGAAGTTTCCTTCCTTTGTCTTTTACTTCTTCTTAATTCCTCACACAAGGCATCACTATTATTATTATTTTCTATAGGTTGAGACGTCTCACTAACCTTTAAAGGAAAAACATGTTCAAAAAACTCAGCATTTTTCGTCTCCATTATAGAATTTCTTTCAAGTGTATCACTTTTAAGAACTAGAAACCTATAGGCAGCACTATGTTCAGCATAGCCTAAGAACATACAATCAGAGGTTTTAGAGCCTATTTTCCTTTTCTTAGGAAACATTATTCTGATTCTCCGGGATTGAGTTGTTGTTGTTGTCAGCCATAAGTCCTTAAGATTGTTGTATAAGCTGACAAAAGTAGAATAAAGATCACGAACAAAATACTTCCTGAGGCGTGTAGATCACTGCCCTTAAGGACTTATCGGCGGTGTATTGCGCAAGTCCCCCAGGATACAACAGGAACTCCCTATTTATAGAGTTCATGGATCAAGCCCATGATCCAAAAATCCAAAATATCTTTTAGAAAAATAATATTTTAATTAATTAAAACGTTGCAAAATGAACGTTGGCAGCCCCTAGCTTGCGGAAGACGTTGGAAGCTCAATACCTAGGAAGGCTACAGAGCACGTGGTCTTACTTATTACCGAGATGAATATAATTTAATAAAATCTTCTCGTTAACACTAGTTTTGATAACACTAACAATAGACTTGAGGCCTAACTCTTCCAACACACCCCCCTCACTCCAATAGGGGCCCGATAATGAGTGGAACAATATGCCCAACAACCAATAATGCTAGGATAGGCTATAACCATAGCTCTGATACCATGTTATAAGTGGACTTGAGGCCTAACTCATCCCCACAAAACCGGCTTGTAAGGTGAGGTCTGCACCCACTTATATACTTTAATTTGGCCTTATCTTTAATCGATGTGGGACTTCCAACAATGGTTCCATAAATTTACGTGGGAGGCTATATACATCCACGTTCAACAAACCAGGCGCCTTTGCCCATTCGGAAGCCACATGACATGACACATATGCAAGCAACCATCAATGGACCTTATGTGATGCATATTATCATACATTTGGTGCATTACGCCAAACTTCATTCATGTGGAAATTCTAAGGATGACACGTGTGTCCAAAATTCATGCAATTGGTCCAAAGATATAAATTTACTTTAGTGGTTTCTGTCATAAAGGAATTATCCTTATACTGTTAGCTGCAAGATACATTGATATAAAAGTGTGATAAATGATTTGGAAAATGATACTTGAACAACCATTTTTGACAACATTTAGACACGAGAACACGTGTCTAAATGTTGTCAAAAATGGTTGTTCAAGTGTCATTTTCCTAATGATTTACGGTTTTATTAAATGGCGATTAAACTTGAAGTTACTATTTTGAACTGAAATACAATTTTAAATCCATGACTGTTTATAATAGAAAAGAAGTTACATATTAATTAAAATTATTTTTAGTATCTGAAATTGATTTAATCATTAATAAAAGCTTGACATATTATATCAAACTGTATTTATCTTTTCTTGTCTTTATGAATGAGATGTTTTATTTTTCTTATTTATATGATCAAAATGTATACTTTTAACTTATTTGAACTTACAGGGCAAAATGGATATTTTCTCTCTCTGCTTTCCTCTTCCAAAAATATCTCTAACATTACATTCTCCAACTCTAAAATTCAAATTGAAAACCTCTGTAAAAAAAAAAAAAAGTTGGCAATTTTAAGTTGTGAAAGAAACGTTTTCCAATGTGAAAACATTAAAACGATAGATATTTG